CAGTAGCTTGAAAACTACTTCCAATGCAGCGGTGAAGTGTCGGGGATATAACATCACCCTGTCTTACACCTCTCTGCAGTTGGATAGGTTTCGAGCTCTGATTCTGTACTCGGATAGCGATCGTAGCCCTACTGTACAAACACTTCAGCACTTCGATATACCGACAGTCAACTTGGCACCGCTGAAGGGACTGTAGCACCGCCCAAATTTCGACGGAATAAAAGGCTTTCTTATAGTCCACATACGCCAGGCAAAGTGGCAGATTGTACTCTTCGGTCTTCTGTACAATCTGCCGCAGGGTATGTATGTGGTCTATGGTAATGGCTTTTTCGGAAACCGGCTAGTTAGGGAGGCTGGATGTCGTCGAGTTTGCGTGCAAGACGATTAGTAATGACTCTCGAAAACGGCACGTAGACACGGCTCAGAAGGGAAATCGGTCTGTAGTTCTTCAAGAGAGCGTTTTCGCCTTTCTAAAATTGTATTATATCTATATTTACCTATTGTATTGTATCAAATCTATAGACCCAGATCATCGATAGGGACCAGCGTTATTGGTGCATGTCAAGTGTGACATTGACATTCACTACTTTTGACACCAGGGCGGCGAAAATTTGGAACCTTAGAGTTATTAAATACATACTATTAATTGAGCCGTGGTAGCTTAGATGGTTAACGCTCGCTGTAAATATAACAGAAAGCGAGTAACCCGGGTTCGATCCCCACCGGCACCAATGAAATTGTTAATTGAAATTTTAAGTACTCATTTACTACGCGCTCGGCGGCGAAGGAAAACATCGTGAGGAAACCTGCATGTCTGAGGAATAAGAGAAAAAAAATTTCAAAGACATGTGAAGTTCGCCAATATACATTGGGGCAGCGCGGCGGATACTTCCTTGCCCTAAAAAACCTCCTCAGAAATGAGGGGAGGCCTGTGCCTAGCAGTTCGACGTATATAAACTGTAACTTTAAATTTATTAATTACTCTGAGTTTGGAACAAAGTGAAATATTTAACTCACGTCTTGACGGGGAACTTATTTTGTGAGGAAAGTGTAAAAAAATTGTAATATTTTGTATTAATTAGATAAGTAATGGATAAACCTAGCAACAGATAGACCAATAAGTAGCGTCATTTTTATGAGTAACATTATTAGTTCTTATTATATTATTTTTTTCCTATTCTACGCCAGGCCTATGTCCAACTTTTAACCATTTACGGACTTGAGAAAAAGACACTCGCATTTAAATGTAAATTTACATAAACACAAAATGATTATCATAATTATTGTTCAGATATTGTTGCTCTTATTAACATCTGGACGGTGACAATTGCTTTATTGTTTTACCAACTGTTATAACTGGCTATTTTATAAAATACTGTAACGAAACGTCACTGAAATATTATTCAGGCTATGAGCTATGTTGTTTTTAAAACACCCAGACCGTTGATGGAGAGCAGTATCAAAACCATCATGCATGCCAAGGGTGGTGGTTGAAGCAAATCTTTACTACAACTAAATTTAAGAAACTTCTCGAATTAGCTTGATGATGAAGAAAAAAATTTCATAAACATAGTGATAGCTCTAAACTAAGCTCTCGCCTTAATACCACGGTACGGGTGCAACCCGGGTTCGATCCCGGCGGACACTAATTAATTTCATTATTCAGCCCGTAAAATAACAACGCAAGTGGCAGTGAAACATTGCAAGTAAACGCGCATGTCTGAGGAATTCAGTTAAAATATTTCGAGGACATGTGAAGTCTGACAATACGCACAGGATATATTCAAGTGATTTACTTATAAAGAGTAAAACAGGAATATGCTGTTATTATACTGGCTTATAATAATAAATATACTAGCTCTCTATATTTGACATCTACCAAGGCATTTCGTATGCAAAAAAGAAAATCTACCACTGAGTAAAAAAACGTGTATAAGGACACGCATATTTAAATGATTATTTAAAACATAGTTTATATTCATGCGTTAATATTCATATCAAAAAACCCTTTCGAAAGACATTGACCTCGATACTGATGTAATAAAATTCAAAACTTGTTTGAAAAAAGATACGGACAAGTGCAATTAAGAATCGCACCCTAAAGGTTCCTTATAAGCTTAATTAAGTACCTACTTTTATCAAATCAATTATGGTTCATAAAAGATAGCTTGATCTCTGCGACAGCTGTCAGTAAAATCACGCCTATGAACTCCTGAATTTCTTAGTAGTACAGACAGTACCTGTCAATGTCATACTTTATGGGCATGCCGACCTAATTAGTACACTACTAAGAAATTCAGGACTTCATAGGCGTGATTTTTACTGACAGCTGTCGCAGAGATCAAGCTATCTTTTATGAACTATAAGTTACTGAAATTCATAAATTATAATCAAGGTAAGCATCGAACATTGCTGTACCGAAATGGTAAGTCAGTTTAAAAGATAAACTTAACGTGGATTCGGAAAAAATTCTCCATTACATCGGTATAAATCACCGGCTATGCTTCAATAATAGGTAATTTAAGTTTGTAATCGGTATATAGTTCTGTTACAAATTAACGGTTTAAAGATCTTTTTTTTTTACTTTTTAACCTGCCCTACCTACTGTTGGGAGACTAGTTTCTCACCAAATTTCATTCAATCACTATAGGTTTTGATGAATGAGTTAAAATAATTTACATATTTAGCCGTATTTTTTTATTTCCTCAAGGAAATCCAAGTCAACTTGGAAACTTGACTTTTTTTCACCGAGGTATTTGATAATAATTTACAACTTGATACCGCTTGTGTTCCTGAGCTTTTCACAAGAACGCAAGCAGTATTGGCCTTGACATACGGACAACAAAGTAATCCTATAAGAGTTTCACATTTTTCTTTGGGTTAAGGGACTTTAAAAACAATTAGGATATAATGAATATTTATTACAGTTAATCAACTTTGTAGACTTACAAATACCTAAAACCTGTTATTGCAAATGTTATAAAAGGTCGGTCAGGTCAAGATAATAGCCGACAGCGCAAGTTATTTTAATGTATTTCATATATACACAAACAAACAATAAATTTCAATTGTAAAGAATTGTTCTCGACGTGGATTTTTTCTACATACGGTAAACCAGTGCTTGATTTCAGTCTCTCCCGATGTCATTTGAGGTTACCCAAATATGCTAAAACGCAATAGCTTCACTAAATAAAAGATATTTTACTCTTCAAACTTGAAATAATTAACCACAACTTCCACTCTTAACAATAACACTATGAAGATAATACCAGGGAAGGCGCCTTAGACGTAATGCTTAACGCAACATGCGTTGCAAGTAATATAATCATTTATACTGTACTGCAAATCTAACATCTGGTGGAGGCAACAAAATCATTCTCACATACTTTGTTGGTTAAAAATACGTGTTCCAAGTTAAGTTATTAAAGCCGGAGTTTACCTGTCATCTAATCGTCCATCGTTATATTTTACGTCATCAATAGAATTGCCAACCATCTCGTGTTTCAAGGGACGTCCCATAATTCTCGCATAAATCTCCATGTCCCGCCGAGGCAAGCAAAAATCTTTGGTAATCGAGAAATTCAAGAATATAGTAGAACAGTTTTCGAGGTAAGCAATGGTTTTATTTTTATTTCTTTTGCTTTTTACATTATTTTTATAGAATAAGGGTGACAAACGAGCACACCATCCAACGGATGGTAAGTGGATGATGTGGCCCATAGATATCTACATTTATTCTCGATTTAGAATCAAAACGCAGAAGAACGCAGCGTTGCCATCCCTGAGGACTAAGATGAAATGCCTCGTTTCCAGTAAAAAAAGTTCTACACTCCCCATACGAAACACAGCAGTATGAAGCTGCTATTTTACGCTGGAATTCCGTGAGAGCGTGGTCCTTCCCCGGTTGAGCCGACCCATTCATGCTACAACTATAATATAGCTGCAGCGTGGCTCTACCACGTATAAAATTCGAAACATTTTTAGCTCAAATAGTTTCATCGAAGAGCATTTTAGCAAACGAGTTTCTATGATATTCTTAATACCTACATGTAACTGAAGTGACAAAAGAACTCACAGTCCACCTGATGGTAAGTGGCTGCTGCAGTCCATGGAAACTATCAGGACACTAGCAGCCAAATTCAAATGAAGAAGGCTACAGATGTTACCTCTGAGATCAAAAATGCAATGCCTCACATCCTGTTATTATACTTGCTCTCTATACCGTTCCCACTGGAACAGAGCACTAGAAAACACTATTATTTGGTGCCAGAAATAGGGGTGAGATGGTGGTACCCACCTGTCCTGGTGTTGGACGTCTAGACAACAAAGGAGTCCTACCACCTAGAACCTAAGATAGACAGATGACCTTAACAAATCAACGAATTCGAAATTCAAAAGAAAAAAAGAAGAATTCGCATTTAAAACCAAACTGTTTACCATATTTAATAATGATTTTATAAGCATGTCAAATTAAGTTAATTATGATAAGTATGCACGAAAAAAGTATTTGTTCCGTTATTTAAAAGTTTCACGTTTGTCCCTTGAAGCCGAAGAAAGTTGGTAACCCAGTGGCAGAAGAACAGTAGTAAGCTATTACTTTATTACTGTGCGAATTAATTAAAGTAATAATGTACCATTATTATATATGTGTTTGCTTTTTTATTACTTTATCTCGGTCGCATCGAAGTTTGTTTTAAATATCCTTTTAGGATGCATTAAGAGAAAAAAATGAATCATAGTTGAAAAATGACCCGTTTTGAAAAAAAGAAACAAAATTTGGCCATTATAAGAAAATTGTAGATATATATTGAATGACAAAATTTCACAATTTGTGAATATTTGAGCGATATTTTGCCATTCTGCCAATTTTAATTAATAAAAAAATATATAGCTTAAAAAAATAAAAACCAGACTTTTGTTATAAGATTTTTACTACCCATTTTTCACAACAGTTGTCTGGCTGTTCAAGTTTAAAAAAAATGTTGAAGAAAACAAAATACCTGTTTCAGGAAAGCCGAAGATATGATAGTCATTTCAAATTATTCTTTGTTTGCAGTAAACACAATATAGATAGTTTTTAAACTTTAAAATATTATTTTCTCATTGAAAGATGAAACACGTTACACGAAGACACAAATGAAAAAAATTACTCTGCGTAGACGCGACAGACCGGCATCTCTTGACAGCCGAGTCTGAATGCACCCGAGACGGCAGAATACTACCTATTTTACTATCCACAACTGAATAAAAAATCGGTATATGTTTACATAGTGATCATGTGAATGATAATACGTATCGACAAACATATTAAGTAATTTTCGATTATTACGTTTTACACTACAAATCTTGTGCTATATCCAATAAACTTAAAAAAAAACTTGAAATAATATGTTGAGGATAAAACATTGAATTTCAAACATTCCAAAGATTAAAATAAATTCAATGAAATTAACTGCACGTGACAATAATAAAAATGTTTTGTAAATATGTCGACCACAATATAAACCTTAACCTATATTTTCATTAACTATGTAAATATAAGTTAAAGTTGTGGTATGTGGTATCTACGCGAGAAATATTATTGACATAAATCCTCGCGATAATTACAATAAGGTCGAATCTTCCAGGGCGATTGTTTAAGTTCGATTGTTCTTCTTTGTTAGCATATCATCACTTGCTTATCTCATATAATTCACATGAGGCAATTTTTTATAGAATAAGGGTGACAAATGAGCACACAGTCTACCTGATGGTAAGTGGATGCTGTGGCCCATAGACATCTACATTTAAACTTGATTAAGAATCAAAGTGCAGATGCGTTGTCACCCCTGAGGACTAAGATGCAATGCCTCTATTCCAGTAAAACGGGTCTCCGGTTTTCTACACGCACCATACGAAACACAGCAGCATTAAGCTGTTATTTTACGCTGGTATTCTGTGAGTTTGGCTTTTCCCTTAGCGTCGCCCTTGGTCGACAAGCTATGTTTGCAAGTTTTGACAACTCATCATCTATCGGTGTTTATTATTTATTTAATTTTTATTATTTGAATTTTAATCCTTATAATAACAAAGTGCTGTTAAAGTCCTAACGTAGTTTGTATCTTAGCTTAACAATTTACGAATAATTTCATTTTCATCTTATATACCACCACAAACATATACAAGCCACTGACATCTATTTTGAGCGCGAGAATCATTCGAATAATCAACTTAAATCGGGTTTGACGCGCGATTAAATTAAAATTCAGGGCGAGAGTCGTGAAACCATGAAACCACTCTTTATTCTCGCAGTCATTAGCACGTCGCGTCGGTTGCATTTAAACTGTAGGTATTTCTCCGTTGCTTAAATAGACTACAGAAAAGCATTTGATTTGCTGGCATACTTGGATAAAAGTATCGTTAAAATGTTCAAAGTTGCCAGTATAGTAAGAGACTTCATCGGGCAGCATATGGAGCAACGGTATACGATCCCATATAATGTAGGCAAGTTGGATGACAAATGCTCGAATTAGGCTTCGTAGTAATATTTTTCAGCAATTTTTTTTTCTCTTTAAAACCCTAAACGTCACTATAACAATTCTATCAGAATTGAGCTTGAGAAGAATAAGTGTGGTCCTCTATGTTAAAAGATCGCTAACTCCGAAATCAAATACTTATCTACGCCCATCAACATAAGGACCCGATTCGAGGCTGAAACATACCTACACCTGGGTACGTCACCAGACATAGGTATCTATGAATCAGACTTGAAACAATCGTTAATAACATATAATGTTAGGTGAGTACCGTTCTCATGTATTTTGACATTTGTTATTTTGATATATTCAAGCGGACACAGATCAGACTTGACAATGAAAGGGGAACTACTCAGGAAAATTTTCTAATATAAATTGTCAGCTAAATTTTCCAGTATAAGTTAGTAAGAAACAATGCTTCATTAGTTGGTAAAGTGAACTCATCCAACTGAATAGAAAATCGACTAGTCTTTGGATGATTGCACAATGACTTTTCAATGTTTTCAGCCATTTATGTGTGGTTTACCTGTTTGAGCAATTAACAAAGATATATTGTATGATGCTCGAAGTCCGTCGCTGTATTACAGTCTTTTTCGTCAGTCGTTTGTCGTTGGTCTTGAAATTAGGCTACATTTTTATACTTCTTATCTGGATGCATTTTATTCAAATGATCTTGAAGTCTTGAAGGCTTCATCCCTGCTACACATAACATACTCGTCAATAACTTCGAACTTGGAAGGTATTTGACAGGCCTGTTGGTCTAGTGGTTAGTGACCCTGACTGCTATGCCGGAGGTCTTGGGTTCGATTCCCACCCAGGACAAATGTTTGTGTGATGAGCACGATCATTTTGTTCTGTGTCTGGGTGTAATTTATCTATAATATTTATGTATTTTTAGAAATATATAAGTATGTTTATCAGTTGTCTAGTACCCACAACACAAGCTCTGCTTAGCTTGGGACTAGATGGCGTTGTGTGATAGTTGTGGAATATTATTATTACGTGTGGGGTATCTATATAGTTTTCTCATCTGGTTGGGATGTATAAATATATAATTATAAACGAAAATGAAAGGATAAATATACATAAATATCCAATAAAATAAAATAAATAAAAAAATACATAAATAAATAAAAGCCCAACCAGACGGAAGCCCTCGGCAGGGGAGACCAAACGGCCAAGGGTTAGGGAGAAAGGGAAAGAAACCGGCGGACGATGCGGGCAGTATCAAGGAGCACCGCCTTCTGCATTTGAGCCCGGAGCGGTCCGTCACGGAGTCCCAGTCGCCTCAGATGACCAGAGAGGCTAACTGGGATTAGCCCATTCGCAGAGACGACTACAGGAATAATTTCGGCCGGCAGACCACCCCACATGTCGGTCACCTCGTGAGCCAGGTCCAGATATTTTGATTGCTTATCTGTTTCGGCTCTCACAAGGTTCTCGTCATACGGGATGGTAATATCGACCAAAAATATCCTTGACTGTGCCCGGTCCATCAGCACAATATCAGGCTTATTCGCAAGAATAGTCCTGTCTGTGATGATGGCCCGGTCCCAATAGAGCCTGGCTCGGTCATTTTCGAGCACGGCTTCCGGCAAGTACTTGTAATACGGCAATTTCCGGTCCACGAGACCGTATTTCAGAGCGAGCTCCTGGTGTAGAATTCTGGCTACTAGGTTGTGCCTATGCAAGTACTCAGAGTTAGAAAGCGCCGGACAACCGGAGATGACATGCCTAAGTGACTCCCCGGGATGGCGACAAGCTCGACAGACGTCGACGGTGCCATCCTATAGGATGTATCTCCGATAGTTGTTGGTCTTAATAACCTGATCCTGTATTGCACAGACAAAACCCCCGGTTTCCCCGAAGAGGTCACCGAAACGTAGCCAGTTGAGGGAGGCAACTGTATCTACGAAGGGCTCATGTAGAGCCTTGTAGTACCTCCCATTGGAGCTCCTTCTCCTTCCATACGGTCTCCCGGTCGGAATTGCTAAGCACTGCTGGGTCCTGCCATTGCTCGTTGGCTAAGGATAGAGGGGTAAGCCCTTTATCACTAGAAATGACGTCATTATAGAATGGATCATCCGATCTCGCCAAGAAGTACTGACGGAGACTGCACACTTCGCGATTATGCATGGTGAGCGCGCTCAGAAAGCCACGCCCACCATACTTTCGCGGCAAGTACAGCCTCATTACCGACGATCTCGGATGATGCATCCTATGGGACGTCATGGTAGTGCGGACTTTTCTATCCAGGGCGTTAAGCTCAGTTTGAGTCCACCTGAGTATGCCAAAGGTATACATGAGGACAGGCATGACCCAGCCGTTATATGCGTGTGTCTTATTCACACCAGACAAAAGGCTGTTAAGCACTTTGGTCAAGCGTGCATAAAACACGTCGCAAACTGACTGTTTCATACCAGCCTCATCGATACCGATGTTTTGTGACATACCCAGGTATCGATATGTTTCAGCCTCGGAAAGGGTCCTAAAGTTGACGGGCATAGACAAGTCTATGCCCTCAGAGTTAGCAACCCTTCCCCTTTCAACATAGAGGACCGCACACTTATCCGTCCCCAGCTCCATTCCAATGGAACTGCTAAATTCACAAGTGATGTTTAGCAGTTCCATAAGATGGGAGCGACTGGAGGCGAATAACTTGAGGTCATCCATATAGAAAAGGTGGGTCACTTTTGTCCCTCCTTTTCGTAGCTGAAATCCCCTCCCGGAGCCCTCCAGTAAGGTACTGAGAGGGTTAAGAGAGAGGCAGAACCAGATTGGACTCAGACAATCGCCCTGGAAGATACCCCTTCTTATCCTTATGTGGTTCTCCGCAGCCGTCATCCGCTCACCCAGATGACAAAGGATCGTACTCCACTGCCCCATACACTGCTCGAGGAAGTCTCTAACTGTACAGTCAATCTTGTACAGCTCGAGGACCCTCTTTAGCCATGTATGGGGCACCGAGTCGAACGCCTTTCTGTAGTCTATCCAGGCGGCAGAGAAGTTCCGACGGTTGCGTTTCACCACTTTGACTATGACCGCGTCAATCAGGAGTGGTTCCTTAGTTCCACGACCACCGCCCCGACATCCATTTTGAGCGCGTGACATCACCTGGTTTAGCTCCAGGTGACGAGTGATTCTCGCGCTCAAAATGGATGTCAGTGTCTTATATATGGCGGGTAGACACGTGATGGGGCGGTATTTGCTCGGGTTTGTGGTATCCTGATCTTTAGGAACCAAGTGAGTGATCCCAGTAGTGAAGAGGCTCGGGAGTGACTTCTGGTTGAGAGCCTCTTGAAACTGTCGGGCCACTTTTATGGTACACCAGTTTATTAAGAAAGGGCCGGGAAGGAACACCCCCCCCAAGCGGGGAAAACAAGGTGGAACAGAAACCCAAAAAAAACCCCCCACCCCCGCAAAAAGGAAAAAAAAACCCACAAAAGAGCACAGCGTGACACACTACGAACCCCTTCAGCCAGTAATGATGCAGCCCGTCGAGCCCCGGACTTTTCCAG